GTGCTCGTGCGACCAGCTGAGAAAGTTAGTTGCAAAAGAGCGACCAGTGGGAAGAATGAGTCTGGAGCCCTGTACAGGCTAGACAGTGCATGAAAAGCAAACTGGTGGTCTTCTGTTTCGTTTGGTGTATGACTCCCTCCTTGTCTCGTATAAAAAGCACAATAATCGCGCCTTATCTACTGTCTGTGAGTTTGTGGACATGTCCTTATCTACTCTCTGTGAGTTTGTGGGCGTGTCCTTATCTACTCTCTGTGAGTTTGTGGGCGTGTCCTTATCTACTGTCTGTGAGTTTGTGGGCGTGTCCAGGCGGCCGGGCCCCGAGATCTCGACTCCTCCGGCGGTGAAAACGCTCTCCTCCGCGCGGCTCACGAGGGCCGTGTTGTGATACAGGTAGGGCACGTTCCCGTAGCGGTGACTCGAGCCCGTCTTGGGAAACGTGAGCCCCAGTTTGCGGATGAGCCGCGGCGGCAGACGGCAGGACTGGATGAGCTCCAGGAAAACGCACACAGGCGTGCCGACGTTCCCCGCTGGCATGAGCGAGGGCGGATTGAGCTCCGGCAGGCCCTTGAGGTCCGACAGCGTGAAATGCTCTGATTGGGCGACGTGTCGTCTCATCTCGGCCTTTGTCTTGTACGGGAATGAATTATGCTCTATAAACACAGATAAAATATGATGATTATGAAAGAACCTGGACCTTGCTAAGACTAGGGCTGACGGTTAATTGTCTAAAAATAGTCACGGTTATTGCGATTAATTGTCTGTTTTAGGGCTTTGTCGATTATGACGATTATCGCGATTAATTGTCTGTGTGCTCGTGCGACCAGCTGAGAAAGTTAGTTGCAAAAGAGCGACCAGTGGGAAGAATGAGTCTGGAGCCCTGTACAGGCTATACAGTGCATGAAAAGCAAACTGGTGGTCTTCTGTTTCGTTTGGTGTATGACTCCCTCCTTGTCTCGTATAAAAAGCACAATAATCGCGGATGTCTGAAACAACCGCGGTTAGATCAAATAATCGCGATTAGACGGATATTTAATTATCGCGACAGGCCTAGCTAAGACAGGTGTTAACATTGACTTTAGTTTACTTGACATCTTACTTAATCTTTCAGGGTGTTATGTGACCAGTTGATGACCCTTGACATTTACCCATAATTCCCATTTTCCCTTTGAAATTTAATAGTTCATGTATCAGATGGTTCATGTTCACCCTTCAACGCCTTCACAAAACATTTAGAAGAACCACATAGATATACCACATTTTAAACTCAATGTCTTCACTGATTTTTTTTAATGTATATAATTGTAATTCATGGATCATGCATAAAATGATATACTTTAATTTATATTAAAAACATTAATTTTTTTAATTTGAATACAAAAGTTGTAAATGTATACATAAAATGATAAATCTTAAATTTATACAAAATTACATTTATAATTGTTCATTTTACTTATTACTTAATGATACATCTTTATTTACAAAAAAGTAAAATATTAATGCAAATAGAAAATAACAAAGCACAATTTATGAAATAGTAATTTATAAAAAAATATATATTTATAATTTGTTAAATATACCATAAAACGTATAAATGTAAATAAAACGTATAAATGTAAATATACAATTATAAATTTTAATTTACCTTCATTTATCAAAAATTACATTCTTTTTAATTATATAATATTCATATGTAAACCACCAAATGATAAAATGTATATATTTTTTTATTTGATTTAATAACAAAATACATCAATGTAAACATTACATGATAAATCATAACTTATGAACATTTTAATTATGAAAAAATCTAAATGTGAAAATAAATGAATCCTAATTTATGAAAAAAGGTCCTTTAATTGTTAGTGTTAAATAAATATAAAGTGAAAAATGCATTTACATTCTTTAACATTTTAATTAAAGTGTAACATTAAATTATAAATCTTAACATATAAAAAAGTGCATCTATTTATTGATTTGTGTTGTGTTTGGCCCAGTAAAAATATTAGCAGGGAAAACAGAAATATGAACAACTGCTATTGTTATTCTAGTGCTGTCAAACGATTAATCGCATCCAAAATAAAAGTTGTGTACGGTGTATATTTATTATGTATAAATAAATACACACACATACATACAATATATATATATATAGAGAGAGAGAAAATATTTACACGTTTATACATTCATATTCTTATATTTTATATAAACATATTTAATATATAAACAACATATTTTTCTTAAATATATACATGCATGTTTTTGTATTAATATATATATATATATATATATATATACATAATAAATATATACAGTATACACATATATTATGCAAACAAAAACCTATTTTGGATGCGATTAATCGTTTGACAGCACTAGTATTGTCCTAAACGTTACAGTCGTGCCGTGGGACTTTTATTTTGGCAGCGCACTCACCGGCCTGCTCCGATACTCTGACTCTCCGGATCAAACACTTTCTTCTCAGCCAGTTTCCTTTAGAGTCGATCCAGTGGTTCCCCGAGTACATCTTCACGAATCTGTCTGATTCCCGAGAGCGAACCGATACCACACAACAACACGAGCCTGCGGCTTTCCCCTCCGAGCTCCGCCCGCTGGATGCGCTACTTACCGCGGTAAACCCCGCGCTCTGCACTCGAAGCTCCGGCCGATGGCGGTAATGGAAACACGCGAACCCTTTGGTCTCGATAAACTGACTGAAATAGTTCCTCAGCTCTGCGGATCGGAACAGAGCGGGAATGTTGTTTACAACGAAAAACGTCACCTCTTCCGACGCCGCCATACTTCAGACGGCGAACCCGGAATCCACATCCGGCTCAACACGGAAGTTATTTCAAAATAAAAGCATGAAATAGCGTACAGTATACTAATGGGTGTAGAAACAATTTTGACTCAGAAACTGCTAGTAAATTTCACAAATGTGACCCTGGACCACAAACCCAGTCATAAGGGTCAATTTTTTTAAATTGAGATTTATACATCATCTGAAAGCTGAATAAATAAGCTTCCCATTGATGTGTGGTTTGTTATGATATGACAATATTTGAAAATCTGGAATCTGAGGGTGCAAAAAAATCTAAATATTGAGAAAATCATCTTTAAAGTTGTCCAAATAAAAGTCTTAGCTATGCATGTTACTAATCAAAAATTAAGTTTTGATATATAAATTTACGGTAGGAAATTTACAAAATATCTTCATGGAACATGATCTTTATTTAATATTCTAATGATTTTTGGCATAAGAGAAAGATCGATAATTTTGACCCATACAATGTATTGTTGGCTATTGCTACAAATATACCCCAGCGACTTAAGACTGCTTTTGTGCTCCAGGGTCACAAATAATTACAGCACTTAATGCACTGAATATAGCGTAAAATGACTGGAATTGTATTTTCTCGCAAAGCCTACTCCAATAATCGATTTTATTTACAACCTTTTTACAGTCCTTGTCGATATTTGACACGTTATGTTTACTGTTCTATTAAAATAAAACATTTGAAACATTTTATTTGTGAGTTCTAAAATGTTTGTATCGCGGTGTTTTGATAAATACTATTATACTGTACCATATTTAAAATACCATGGTATTTAATCTGAATAAGTATGGTATTTTTGTAAATGTACATCTATGCATTTGGCAAGACACTTACCCAAATTGACTTCAATTGCATTTCAAGGCATACATTTGGATTTAAAAAGTAAATAAAGTTATTGTACATTTATTATTTTTGACAAGAAAATAAGGCATATGATGGGAATAGCTCTTTGCCAGGTATAGTGTATTGTGTTATGGTTCAAGAAACACCAATATGCTTAATATGATCAGAAAATACAATAATAAATCATTTCAGAGAACTGAAAAAACACGTCAGAAAAAAAAAAGTCAACTCGTGTTATGAAAAAAAATCTACCCTTTTATTAAAATATATTTCCAAAATCATTGTCATGAAAAAAACGTGTCATAAAAAAACAAACAAACAGAATTTTCCCTATGTGTTTGTAATATCTCTGCTTAGATAAACTCAAGATTACTGGCGCTGTACAGAGAGGAGATGCATAGGAATGAGTGTCAGGACTATTGCTTTGATTATATAGTGATTCATAGAGTGATATTTGGTGTTTCTCCACATCTCAAGCATTTAAAAATGATAGGCCTCTTCTTTTATTGATCCCTAAAAATGACTCTGTCATCATTTACTCATCCTTAAACCCATACGAGTGTGAATGAATAATAGCTATAAATGTTCATTCTTGGGTGAACTATTGGTCTAAAGCAGGGGTGCACATAAGTGGTCCGCAGGTGCGCATGCGCGGCCAAAATAAAAAATGCGCAGTGTAAATAAGTTCTGACAGCACATTTGCGTACGACATGGTTGACATGCACAATTAGCATTTTAGATCGACAAACTGTACTTTGTAAGATTTCTAGTCAAAAGCATAAATCTAGGCTACCCGCTGCCGTTTTCAAAGCACAATGCAAAACTGTGACATTTCATTTACTGATGCGCTTCAGTCAGCGGCGCTAAACCCAGAAGCGCATATACTTACTTGCCGCCAACCTGCCAAAATA